AGTGGATGGGCAATAAGAACTATGTTTATTTTTATATGCTTATAAGAAAGTGATGCATCCTTGTTCCCTCCAAGATAAGGAACACTGCTGGGACAGTAGAACCAAGCAATACGCACGTGGGTCTGAAAATTTGCCCCAATCCAGGTAAAACTCATGATATAAAAAAACCATGCTTTCCATTTTTTGGTGTTTGAGAGAGACTTGCATCTTTAATTTTTGGTGAAATTGTATCACTTATAGAATGGTTATAACATTTTATTTCTTTTCCCTAAAACTACTAGATTATCATGTTAGCAAACAAGCTATTTTGGTAACTGTTTTACAAAAAAATTGGCTGGACAAGTCTTAAAAAATTATTGAAAAATCAGAAAAATGCAAAGATTTTTTAATGACTTGTTTCTTTTTTGAAGAGGCCGTTTTTCTGATTTAAACACACTCCCTCCCCAACATATTGACTAGCCCTTCTACAAATCAGAAAATGGTCAATCTGTAGCTTTTATGAGCAATGAAGGGAATGAATTTACACTTCCATCTTCTCTGCATGCATTGCATCTTGTAGTAACTCCCTTCATCTGTTACTTCCCTTCTCCCTGGTGTTCTCTCCTGGCCATCTTCTATCCTGTTCTGTATCTTTCTTTGCCTTCATCCCATCAGTGAATTCATGTGCCATGGAGTTTTTTAGCTGTTGTAGGCAAACACACTTTGCCTCCGCTGTAGTTTGATCCCAGCTGACTTCTTGTCTATAAAGATCCCAATTTTATACCCCATCTTGTCTTTTTATCTTCACCTCATAATTGCACCCTTTAGGGTTGCCAAAGTCCATAGAGCCTCATTCCTTTCCTCCATTGCTAATGTATTTTGAAGTGGAGCAGAGATGCCTGGTTTAGTCATTCCATTTCTAATCCACATCCTAATTTGGGCAAGCTCTGAGTTTTTCATGCCTACATGCAATTGATATAAAAGTGGTCTTCCATGATGAGGACTTTCCTGTAAGTTCCTGACCAGAATTAATGTTATTTTTATGCTCACATGCTTTCAGGATTTCCAAGCTCAGACTCTGTGCAGAAAAGCCATTACTGCCATTCATTTAGTAATACTTCTGAATAACCTAAAGCACTTCCTTCATCTTGGGCCTGGCAATATCACATGTATGTTTCCACCAGACCAAATGTTTATAACTGCTACACAGCACCCATCGATATAATAGGAGTGTGATCAAAGATCATAGGGACAGAAACACTGTACCCCAAGTCATAGGATGTGGTTTATTATACCATGGATAGATTTTCAAAGGCACAAATAGAAGTTATCTCCCTCTTAGATAAAATAATATTTCCTTGATTTTTTTTTTTTTTTTTATCAAGGCTCTTGGTTTTTGTTGCATTGAACAAAGGTTAAAGGGGATCATGTGGAATGAGTGGTTTGCTTATGGCTAACCACTTCAAAACACTGGGTAGTGCGCAGTAGTATGTGATTAACTTGTTGCTCCAAGGAGAATGTTAAACACCATGGCAGGATGAGGGGGATGGAGGAAATGATGAAAATATGAAGCCAAAAGATGCTAATCTAGGGCCATATTCTCTTATGTTGGCATGGCTGTCAGTTTACACCAGCTGCAAATTTGGCGCTGAGCCTTTATCAGTTTGAGTTAGCATTAATTATAGATCCCATGGTGGCAGCAGGTGTTATGAGATGACACAGGCTTTGCAATTTAATTGTATTCTGCGTTGCTTTAACTTGCAAAAATGAATGTTTACAGCATCTTATTAATCTTCATTCTTGTAACTGGTATTGCCTGAAGCAGGAAGAGGGAATGAAGTGAGGGGTCTGTTTAAATCTACAGATGTACTTCAGTGGAAGCCTCATATTTTGAATGGTCAGTGAAGTAGGTTATCATCTATTATAGTGGACCATAAGCTGAATATGGGTCAGCAATGTGTTCTTGCACAAAAAAACCCCAACAGGTTACTGTGTTGCATTAATAGAAGTGTCTCTTGTAAATCAAAAGAACTGAGTCTTTTGCTGTGCTCAGGACTGGTGGGGCCTCACCTGGAGTAGTGTGTCCATAAAAACAGATGTGGACAGGCTGGAAAGAATCCAGTGGAAAGCAACAGAAATGATGAGAGACCTGGGAAGCAAGATTTGTGAGGAAAGGCTGAAAGAGCTCGATTATTTAGGCTGGGGAAGAGAAGACCGAGGGGGCATTTGATAAGTCTTCAAATACCTGAAGGGCAATTATAGAGAGGAAAGAGTTGGGCTTTTTTCTGTGGCTGTAGGAGATAGGTCCAGGGGCAGTGGTCTCAGACATCAGCACAGGAAATTTAGGTTGGAGATTAAGAACAACTTTGTGAGTATGAAGGTGGTCAAGCATTGGAACAGGCTCATGAGGTCCCTTGCAGCCCTGCTTTCCTATGTTCCTAGTCTTTAAATATCTCCACTTATATTCTTCAGTGCATGTAATATAAAGTCAATAGGGGAAGTGGTGTATATATAGTTATGTCTTTTTGGAGGAAAAAAAGATCAGGGAAGGACTAAAAAAGAGTTTGATTATAGTTTATTCTGGTTGCATGTAATTTTCAATGCTGCCAGTTAATTCCAACAATTGGAATAAGCATGGCAGATATCAAAGCTCTTTCGTGATTGCTGGGTCTCTTTCTGTGTCTCTGGTTATGGAGAACTTAATCACTGTTTGTTATTGTAAATTGTGAGGATTAGTCATCCTTTGATGCCGGATGACTCAAATGTACCATACATTTTCAAATCTTTGCATTCAAAGCCTTGGTGGAGTTAGACTCTGATAGAAGATTTTGAAGCATATTGCTTTGACCCATGGTTGACCTTTCAGTAAAAGTATTCTTACATGTTGCAGCCAGCTCTAAATCTGTATGGAAATCTGACAGCCTTGGAAAATGTCTTTAATATGGATATTTTAGCTACTGCATCTGTCTCTGCAGAACTTTTGTTTACTGAGCAAATCAAAATAGGCTCCAGGTCTTGTTGACAAAAGAGACAGTGACTGAAATGTAAGTTTGAAATCTTGGCTCCCTTGAAGTCAATGGCAGAAGTCCCATTGACTTTAATGGTGCCAGGACTAATCTTGCTCCTGCTACATTCATTCAGATGCCACTGGTAGTGTGTCCTCAGAAAGCTGAAGCCAGGCTTCTGGGACTTGGGAAATGTAACCTTCTTTAACCATCATGTTCATTTTTAAGAAAGATTTTGTACTTCGGAAGGACTGGTTTCTCAATGTCAAGGCTAGTAGGTGTGTTAGAAACCCAGTTAGGACATCAGCACACCATTACTACAAGGGTCTGGTGCAGACTGTAAATACTGTGGTAATTTTGAACAACCGCATCTATGATGTTGTTATATAGCTTGGCTGATAGTGAGATATCAGCACCCCACAATAATGTTAATTGTGCAAGGTGCCACTGACCCAGAGACACTCTTTTTTATTTTGTGTAAGATACAGTGAGACCTTGGGTCTGAGAAAAGACTATGCATTTACTAGGAGTATTCACTCATCATAAACCATGCTCCTCAGTTACAGTTACAGCTACAGCTACAGCATGCTCTATGCTTTTTGCATTACATGAAGGGCTGTTACATTGTTCCCTAGAGGGCCATGTTCCTTTAATGGCTGTCTTGAAATTGACAGGACCTAGTCAGTTCAGGGTTGCCTCACAAGCCTTGCAATTGACGGCTTCTAGTTGGTTTCACCAGTTAAGCAGAGTACAATTGCATCACGAACTAGACAGAGGGTCCGGAGCTCCTATGCACTGAAGTCATGCATACACTTATCCAATATGCAGAAAACCAGAGTTTGTTATAATGCAAATAATAGGCAAAAAATTGGGACCAGTATTGTTAGGCAGGTAAGCATATAATTCAATATATGTCAAAGTGGAGTGCGCTGCAATGCAATATCGGGATTATGTAGTTTTATGTGACAACCCACACAACCCCCAACTGTCAAATGGAGTACTTGATGTCACATCATTGCAGATTAGACGTGCAAACCAGAGTGGCCCTGTTCATCTTAGTTCCACTTAGAGTCAATTCAGCTGTAGCTGTATAGGGGGCTAGGAAGGTTGGGTTTGTCAATGTGACTGATGCCAGTTCATATCAAAACACTGCTTAGTTGGTATTCTGTCACGGTCTATACTAGCCAGCCAAACTCTTGTTACAATGGGCTTAAACTCTGTTTAACCACAATAGTTCACTCAAACCTAGACCAGTCTGGACCTTCAATGCAAATACTAGTAAAATTACATGCATTCTGCACAGCTACTAGTTCCCTGTTAGACAGAGACTCTTTTTTGAGTGTGATGGGTATCATATCAACAGAAACTTTTTAAAAGCTTTTGATCTCCTTTATGTCTGCCCCCAAGTAGGGGATTGTCCTTTAAATTTAAGTGAGCTCTCGTTTATTTGAAGGTTGTCCCAGGTTACTCCAAGAATTCTCTGGGATCAAGACTGTCCCTTACTGAGATGTCATTCACATCTTGGGTTTCAAAACAGCTTCCATTTGTGGAGCTATTTTTTTCCTCAGATTTCTGATTATTTACTGTTGATTTCAACATCACTGTTTGTGTCGGTCTTAAAATCAGTTGGTAATCAATGCAGCATCAGTAAAATGTGGTGGAGAGAGAAATGTATTAGAAGCGGATAATTTAGAATATGGGGAGATGTCTGGATCTGTACAGAAAAATGTACCTTGCCTTAGAAAAACCCTGAATTGCTTGTGACTTCAAACTGAGAGAAGTCAATATCAAAGATGTTGTACTTCTGCCTCTTGTGGGGGGGGGGGATACCCTAGTCTGTTTAAAATTGCTAAACTCATTGAAAAGGATACATTCTGTGCACTAAAATAGGTAATTCTCTACTAAGATTAAAAATATAGATCTCAGTGAGACTGATTGCATTAAAATACCTATGTTTAGCTGTGGATCTTCAATCCTGTTATGTGTTAATAGAATATACACTATCATTTTTCATAGGTGGCAAAAGTGGAATATGTTAGAAAAAAGCCAAAATTAAAAGAAGTTCTGGTGAGGTTAGAAGAGCATATGGAATGCACCTGTACATCATCAAATTCTAATTCAGATTATCGAGAAGAAGAAACTGGTATGTCTTCCTTTTTATTTTTATGCATGTATGCTTTTTTTTTTCAGATGAAAACTTATACTTGTCCTTGTGACAGTAAAAGAATGTAGGTCAAAATGTACACCCATTGAACTCAAAGAGAAAACTCCTATTGAGTTGACGCTCCTCTGTGTATTGAAGGTATGGAATTAAACTAGGATGTGTATTGGATAAAAGATTTTGAATTAAAAGGTTAAACTGCAGCAGTTTTCTTAGTGTGCCCTCTAAAGGAAACGTACGGTGCATAACGTAGAAACCTTGCCTAACTGGAAGGTTTCACTGTGTAGCTTTTTGGTAACTTCTGTCAGTTCTATCCAAGAATGACTTTGGACTTTATGGAGGAAGTTAGCCTGGGAATTTATTGCCCTTGGGGGAAGACCATGTTTGAAGTGACCAAAAATTTTATTTAGAAAGAATTTGTATGTTCGAAAGAAAGGCATTTTGAAATCCCACAACAGCATTAACTCTGCTGCCATTTCTGTACCCATTCTTATATATGCCCCAGAGATTGTTGTTAAGTCATCACATTGAACGTAAAGCTGCTTCATTAGATATAGGAAAAGGTTTCATGGGAAGAATACTTGCTGTCTGTGTGGTTTTTTATAAAAAAACTGTCTGGATTCTCTCCTGTGCTAAAATATGCTAAATGCAAGGGGTGAGAGGTATTCAGGAAGCTGGTTACAATGCAAGCTGCCCAGGTCACATCCCCTCCCTGATAAGTTAGAGTAGCCTGGGAGTTTTGATTTAACTTATGTGTGCTCACGAGGGACCCTGCCACTTTCAGAATTGGGGGAGTGCAGGCGCCCCCTGACCAGGGCTGGAAATGCTGTTTCGTGCCATCTGCAAGCTTCTCTATGGTGGTGGCAGACACAGCTCAGCAAATAAGGGCAGATTCTGGTGCCCTGTGCTGCTCCATAGGCACAAAGCTGCTGAAACCCTGGGAAAGTGTCTGGTCCTATAAATTATCCTCTACAAGCAGAGAATCTAGGAACTGTTCCCATTAAACTGCAATTTATAAACCAGGCTGCATGTGTTTGTTTTGCTTGTTAATCCATACATAAAAACTCAGCATCTTCCCTGGTTTGCAAATTGTTTAATGTCCCATACCTGAAACTCATATCTGATCAAATTCAGTTTTCCCAAATGCTTGTCTTGGGCAGAGACAAAGCAGTTGAAATTTCAAGTTTATAGCATTTTTTTTTTGTATGTATGAAAAAAAAAATCTGGGAGAACAGTTCAAAACCAGCTTCCTGATGGGAATAGTCACAACAGAAGAAAACATTTACTTACGTCCACAGTTGTAGGCAAAATAACATTTGCATTAGCAAGAGGGTGGCAATGGGAAAACCAAGGGTCAAGAGCCAACATTGAAGACACACTAGTAACAGTAGTTATAGCCGAATCTCTTGTAAGGCCATCTTGGATTACTGGTTGCTTGTTTTTGTCTAATTACTATCTAAACCTTGATAAACAGCATTTCAAAATCAGCAGCTATAATGTTATACCTTTAATGCAAAGGATAATGAGTTTGCTTTGAAAGATAAACATCTTGAGTTTTTATTACTTCAGTTTTCAACAAAATGCATTACCTTAGGGCTTTTTACCAGCCCTGCCCTTATGTTAACAGGAAGGCCTAGGGAAACAGGTAAAAAACGGAAACGAAAAAAGTTAAAACCAACCTAAAAACTACTGGAACTATTTGATAATCAGGTAGGACCTATATGCTGAACACCCTAATAGCACAAGTAATGGAAAACTTAATCAAATACCATCACTTCAACTTAATCACTATTCCAAATCTTGACACTTGCTACCTCAAGGCTGCAAAGAGATTAGATATGATTGGCTTTAATAATTCTACCTGCTGGTATTTCCCCTTTAAGCTACACATCACCATAAGCATCTTACATTCTTGAGCTCCTTCCTTTTCTTGCTTTTTGTTTTACTTTTTTTTTCCGAGGGTGCTAATGCCTAAACTTCCAAAATCTCAAGTTGCATTTCCTTTGCTTTTGTTTCATTATTATTGATTCCTGGGTTCAAAGCATCACATAATAATGCATGAATGAATTGTCAGGTTACAAACGGTTTGCGTTCCAAGCAGTCGGTTGTTAAAACATGGAGTATATGATAACATTGAGTATGATAAATCTAATTACATGCATGATCATTGACCTTTTTTTTGGGCATGAACTGGGTCTGATTATACATGTGCTGAAATGTTCCGAATCGCTGCTTGCTTTAATAAAACCCAGGAGGACACCCAGTTTTTTGTGATGAGGCCCTGTACTATTTGTACCAAAGAGCTAAGAACCTTTATTGGCCTGATGGCTTCCCAGGGACGTATGGTCACAATGACTCAAGAGTAGGATATTGTCAAAACTCATGACATTCACAGTGCGTAACAAAAAACCACTCTCACTTTAAAGCTTGGTTGAAATTCTTTGATCAACAGCAGCAAAGTGTGATGTCAGCTGTAAAATTCCCAAACTGAATACAGACTTTTGCCTTTCTAAAATACCGGAAGCCATACAAACCACAGCATTTGCAGCCGATTCTCATGTTTTGAGTGGGAATTATTTGGATTTTGCAGTAAATGTACCTAACTGCTGGGTGATGATGAATTTAATTGAAACACTTTTACACTTTTTGGTTTTTTTTGCACTTGAACTCCCAATGTCCGATTTCATTTATACCAATGTATCATTTTTAAAGAATGCTAAACTTGATATCCTGTTTCAGATTAACAGGTATTTATTGGGAGTAGTATGATAGAAGCAAAGATTTTGTAAAATTCATCTTTAAAAGTGAGCATGTAAACTCAATCAAAACAGCATTTAGAGCTTCTTGTCCCAGGTTAGTGACTCTTCATGCAGAATAGTTTTTTTTTTGAAGACATCTACTCGGAGGATAGGCCCTTGGATTCTAACCATGGAGTTATTGTATCTTTTTTCTCTCCTGCAGATGTAAGGTGAAAATAAGCTAGAAAAACAAACAAACTTCTCTCTGGGACATGGATGTACATGGTTTGTTACATTCCTGAACCTACTATGTATGGTGCTTTATTGACTGTATACTTTATTTGTTCTCCCATGTGAAAAAAACTGGCTCTAAAGGACACTTACTGAGAACAAAGAGACAATGTACATTTGTTTAATGTGACATCAAAGCAAGTATTGTAGCACTCTGTGAAACAATAGGAAGCTTCCCTATCTAAAAAACGGGAAAAAAAAAGAGAAAAAAAGAGAAAAGTCAAGGAACAACTAAAGAAAAAAAGACAGTTGAATGAATGGAGGATACCAAAAGTACTCAAATAAATGACAAAAATCTCAGTGAATAGTGGATTTCTGTCAGAGCAGTCAACGGTGCTTTATGTCAAGAAATGTGCCTGCTTTCTTGATGAAGATGGATGGACACTGATGGACTTCAGGCACACACACACACAAAAGCAGGAATGTATCAAGTGATCAAATGCCACGCAAACACTATAGAAACAATACATCCTTGCTTGGTAGTGTTTTAAAGTCTATACAAAAATAAGAAAAAACAACAACAACAACAACAACAACAACAACAACAACAACAAAAAACCTTCTGGGGAGCCTTAAGTGGATTTTTTTTACACCATAAAGTGATTATTAAGCTTTCTTTTTACTCTTTGCCTAGCTTTTTATTATCTCTTGGACTACATTTACCGATAACACGTATAGAAGACTGGTGTAACAGTAAGCAGAACACAAACATTATGGTCTTTCTCCTAGTGGGATGCAAACTAATGAGATGTATTAAAATAAAAATGGTATACCTATGCATAATTTTCTAGACGTTTTTGGTTTATGTTCCCCACTCTGCCCCCCCTCTGCCCTGTAATTTAAAGCATAAAAAAAAAAAAAAGAAGCAATGTGCTTAAACAAATCATAGGATACCCATGCAAACATCCTTTGTTTCCCTTTGAAAGTTATGCCAGTTGCCTAATAGTGATATTGTGTTAGCAATTGTCATTCTTATCAGTATACAACTACGTTTATTTCACATGTTGGAGCTGTGTGAAATGTACAAAAATTCTTCTTGTATCCGCATTGTACAATGTCATTGTGGCATGGGAAATTCCTTGCTGCATATATTTGAACAAAACCTAAAAATTCTTTATTTTTGGTAAAATGTTATGCTTTACGTGTATTCAACAGAAATATGTGTTTTTGTAAAGGTGAAGTTTGTATTTTTATCTAAAATTAACAGTTTTATATACCTGAGAAAGCCTGCTATGTTTTCTTGAACCAAAAAAAAAAAAAAAAAAAAAAAAAAAAAAAAAAAAAAAAAAAAAAAAAAAAAAAAAAAAAAAAGCGAAAAAAAAAAAAAAAGCATTTTGTGGTCATATTTTTGTAGTAGAATAGCCCAAATATCTTCAAAATATATTTTAACTATAGCAGGGCAGATAAAGTCTCCGGGCACCAGTTCCTACATTTGCAAAGCGCGGAAGGATTTAACTGTTCAGCTTTCCCATGGCTTGTAATGGTAAATCCTTGTCTGCTGCTTTGGAAATTAAGTATTGTGCCAGATATTCTTGGCTATCCTCTTGGCCAAAACACTGCCCTTCCCCAGTGGTTTAGATTATATGCCCTTTGTTTTATTTCGATTATCACATTGGACATGTAAAATAAACTACTGGATTCTTTTTTCTTTATGAAACATCTCCAAAGAGATGAAAGATTTCTCTCTCCTTTGTATGTAATGACAAAAGAGCATGTCTTGAGAATCATGTTTCCACCCAGTTTAAATGTCTCCAAAAGTGAATGAACTGCAGAGCTTTAAAATGTAAGGAAAAAAATGAGAGAGAGAGAGAGATTTTTTAAAAACTTTTCCACTTCTTTTAGATATGGTTCAAACATTCCCCCCCCCCCACCTCCTCCTATTGCTATGTCCAGTTTCAACCAAACAAAGCAATTTTAACTAACAGGCATTATTGGCTTTGGATGCTAATGCAAAGATAGCGTTAGTCACAGTTCTATTTTGTGATCATTCTCTCAGTGTGCTACATTAAGCACCAAAACTGGAAATACATTTACTAAACCTGTCTGTGCTTGTTCTCCACTAAGTGTACTGTTCACAATGTTATGCACATGAATGTATGTGTCTGCGTTTAAAAAAAAAAAGTGTATAAAATGTAATTTATATATTTATGTTTCAGTGGGATGCCAATAATGTTGCTCAGTTCCTTTTTTATTGTCTAAAAATATCTAATGAAAAAGAATTCATATATCCATTAAAATGATGTAGATGGAAAAAAAAATACGATGTGACCCATTCAGACACTGTGCAGGTTTGAAAGGATGCCAAAGACACTTCCGTGGAACATTTTGTGAGCAAACTTTTCAAGACGGCTATGGTTGTACTGCCACACAAGAATTTCCCTCAAATCATTCACATGGGCTGGAATCTCATATGGCCTCATCTGGGACAACCACGGTGAATGCTATGGAGCAATGCTGATGTACACCACTGCAGGGTCTGGTCTTGTCTGAAGAAAACACAGCTGAAGGCATGCGTTTTAGTTGCATATAATTGTGTTACGCCACACTTGAAAGGAGGAGAGAATGAAGACTTTTCCAGTAATCATTTGTTTGAGACTTGAAGTCTGTAGCTGATTTCATTACCGGGAATTGGGAGTATATACATCTTTGTTCTGAAGCCCAGTGTTTATATGGTACATAGTAGCAAACATCAAAATCTTAGAGGCAGAATTTCAGCCGGTATAAACTGACACTCTCCAGTGACTTCACTGGTCCCATGCCAGTTTACATCAGCTAAAGCTCTCACTCGCAGTCTTTAAAATATGCTGAACAGCTTCATGGCCCTACTGCCATTGACTCTATTCCAGTTGAAGTGTACGTGAAGGCATTTACAGTCCAGGTGTATTAGTCCTCATACACTTCTGTACTGTAACCTGATGGCGTGTAACCCAAAACAGCAATTCAAAGTTAAGTTGGACATTCGGAGGGCTAGATCCTTAACTGGGATAAATCAATAAACTCCAGTGATTTAAATGGAAGTATGCCTGTTTACATCACCTGGTGGCCTGGTCCCCTATCCGTAAAGCAGGGAGCTCACATCCTGGCGCATCGTTACTGTACTATGTGCTCCATAATGCTCAAGCAAAAGAAGTGGCTTTAAGTGCGAGTGTCAGACTTAACTTTCCATTTCCATGCTTTTGAATCATTTATTTCCCTGATGTGGCTGTAAATTAAACAGTTTTCTGTGCATTTGCAAACAAGGTGCAGTGGTTCTTCTCATGTCAATAGGAGGGAACATTATTTACTTTATTAGCAAAAGGGGTAGAAGGTACATTATGAGACATAAGTGACAACATGTTCAGTATTAAGAGAAAGGGCATGACCAACAATTTCAAATACCCTAAAACCGAGAGCTGTTCAATAGACCCCCTATTAAAAGGGAAGGGTGGGAAGTGATGGAAGGCTTTAATGAAACGTTAGGAAATTATTGTTTTCTGTAAATCTTGGGGCACTTAGTCTTACATTTTGAGCATCTGATTTGGATGCTCAGTTCCTACTGGAACTTAACTGCAGTTTCTTTAGGTTCCCTCTGTGGTTTTGAAAGTCTCGTCTCGAACGTTTATTTGAACCTCTCTTGGGTTGAAAAAATCTTGTGCCTTTTAAGAACAAAAGCATGTAGTTTTGCTTATGTCTCAGGTGGGCGATGTACTTGGCATTTCTGCAGCCCTGATTCAGGTCTTAGCCGATATCAGAAATACAGAGTTTTTGGCAAGGGGTTGGGGAAAAGAGACCAGGTTTTTTCAGGCTTCAGTTTAAGCAACATGGGGATGGCAGTCAGCAATTTGGTTTCATTCCCCGCAATTCACCTCTCCCTGCTGGGTGTCTTTCTGAAGTGGCTACAATATGCCTACCCATGGATTAATAGCAAGGCGTTCCCTTTCTGTCATGCTTACATCCCATTGGTGTCAGATAAATAAAGTTAAGCTTATGCTTTAGTGTGCCTCTTGAAATTGTTGTGTTTTCCTGAATTGTGACTGCAATAGCAGGGCTGGGGATGTGATGGTGACAATAACAATGGCAACTCGTAATGAGATCTACATTGTAAGTTAACCAACCTCAAGGATGGATTGAAAAGACTGGTATGTGGGAATAAGAGAAATATGCAGGAGACATCCCCACAATGTTTGTCATGTTAAAACACAAGGTTTAATAAGTAGCTTCTATACACTGCAGTACCTATGACCATGCTTAATAGCCAATACAATTATTGCCCCTACCCCCAAAGCATGACATTTGCAAATGTTAGCTATAAATAAACTGAGTTTAGGATGACAAAGTAGGATCCAGGAGAAATATCGCAATTTGATTTAGAGAAGTACTGAATTTCCACTCACCTGAATATATAACTTGCCCTAGTGCATTCATTAAAACCAGGCATAGCTGGTATATCACAAATTTGGACAGAAGCTGGTTTTTTTTTTCAAATTGGGAAATGTATCCTGTGCCCTTACTCAGCTCTAAGCATTTGATTTATGAGAAACAGAAATTAAAGTCATGTATGTCTAATCAGCCTGGTACATATAAAAGATTATGGCTTCTTTTCCTTGAACTACTACAGTATTGTCATGCCATCTGACTTTTGAGTCAGGGCATGCAAATCAACATGGTTGTAAATCAGAAGGACAACTCAGGGTGCAGTAACTTGTTTTCGCAGGGAACGTTGTGTTCAGCGGCTGCTTGAATGACAAGCAGCAGACTACGATTTTCTCCTATTCTAGAGTGGCTAACCCCTGGTTCCTCAGATGAGAGGCCTGCGTTCAGGCCTCTGCGCTATGGACGAAATCCGGGTTATACTGATGTCAGTGAGATGTTTGGTTTTGATGTCTTTAGGGATTTCACCGCATCCCTTTCTTTGAAGGGACTGAGGTGTATCGAATCATAACTGCATTTAATTCTTTCACTGGTAATCTAACCTTGCCTGCATTTGGCACAGAACTGCCTACCAGACTCCCTGTTGCTCACCCCATTTTCCTTTTAAGATCTTAAAATAACTGTTGTTTTGCACTCGATGCAAATCAACCTTGTGGGCACCTCTGTCAGCCGTATGATCCAATTTAACAGGGTGAGGCACCAAGGCTTCCTATGAAACGATTGGGAAAACCTAGATGCCTCCTGTGGGTAATCCCAGATTAACACGGTGCTCAGCTGTGAAGCATTCACAACTAGCCGATCGGAAGCACCAAGTGTGGGAGTGCATCTGACTTGTGCTCCTCCATGCAGCGCATGTGCCTGACTCAGGGCTGCAGGGGACGGGCCGTCATTTTGAAATCCAAAGCATGTAGCGCAAGGGGACCTTTGTCCCCTCTTAAAACCCCGAGGACACAAGGGGGAGGCACTGCATGGGCAGCGGCGTGGAGTTCAATAGGAAACACAGCACTCCGCATTGATGCGAACGGCAGTGGTGGCACCTGCATTTTTCCCAATAGCCCGGTGGTTAAAATGTTATCAAAGAAGGGGGACCAAGCTCTCCTAATCTCAAGGGGCCCAAACCCATATCTCCCATTTCCTAGGGGTGTTTTCTTAACAGCCGGGCCATGGGCTAGTTCGTGCTTACCCCCACCTCATGCTGAAGCTGATGCGCTAACCGACCAGGAGTACAAAATCATGAGCCAGAAGAAGAGCGAGCAAGCAAGAGGGAGTGTGACTGCAACCCAGGGAGGAGGGGGAAGCGTGCTCCAGCCCCTGATCTTTAGACACCCGCTGGTTTTAAAGCACAGAAACAACCAGGCAGTAGGGGCT